AATATAGAAGGCTGGGCAATGAGCATACCGCTACCGTGCCTGGGTTGGTGGTCAGAGGTCTCTTGGATGCATGTCTGGCTCCCTCGGGAAGCCTCAACGGAGAGCGTCTTGGAAACAGTGGGCCTCTGGGGGGCAGTTTGGGGGGCTTCTTGGCAGTTATTTTGGGCGTCCTGGGGGGCATCTTGTGCACTTCTTGGGGGCCTGCTGGCGGTCTCGGACCCCCCGTAGGGCGGAGGGCTCGAAATGCGAGTTCGAATCCTCCTGACTGGGTCTCTCTAAATGCCCTGTCGGGGCTCTCTTGGGCCATCTTGGGCGCCTCGTGGGCCGTCTTCAGCCTCTCTTGGGCAGCTGTGATGCCCTCATTGGGGGCCTATGTGGCCGTCTTGGGGCGATCTTAAGGGAACATTTTGACCGTCTTGAACGCTGTGAAGACCAATATGGTGATCATCGGCGTGATCAGCATTGGCGTCATCGGTGGCCTTGCAGTAGTCATCGCCATCGTCATCGTCGCCACCAGTATCGCTACAATCATCATCGTGTCTGCCGCTGTCCACATCGCCATCATACGCGCCCGCCCGAGTCCCCGACTTGCACTGAAGTGCCCGCGCGAGAGCGCGGCCTGCGAGACGCGCTGGGAAGTCCCCAGCGATCAGCGCCACCGCGGCCGCGTCGGTCGCGCTGGACTGGCTGGCCGCTGTGCGCGCAAGCCTGCGCGTGCTAGCGCGGCCCTAGCGACGCGCCAGCCAGCGCCAAGCAGACAATCGCAATCGCCGCCCACTAGGTTGTGCTACCAACTTGCGGGCAGGTGGGTGGAATGATGGCGCGAGTTGTGGAGTTGACAACGTCAAGCCGGCAGGGTGGATTCCACCCCAGTTGCTTCACAACGCTGACTGCGCACAACAGATGTCTAGAAGCGCTGCTTTGGGGCCCACGCTGGCTAACGTCTATATATGGTTGCCGATCTCGCTATGTATTGGTCTTCCTCCTTCTCCTCACGATCCATGCATCGGACCAGCCATCAGGACAACCATGATGCGGATCATCCGGGCAAACATCGGGGCAACCATCAGGACATGTATCGGGACAACCATCGGGACAGCAACATCGGGACAACCATCGGGACAATCATCGAGAAAACCGTCGGGACAGCCGTGGGACAACCACATGGACAACCATCGGGACAAGTATCGGGAGAACCATTTGGACAACCATTGGCACATTTTTCGGGACAGCCATCGGGACAGCCATCACGGCAACAACCGGGACAGCCCTTATTTTGGATATCACTCATCGGGGCAACCATCGGCAAAACTATCGGCACAGCCGCGGGGCAACCATCGGGACAATTATCGGGGCAACCATCGGGACAACTATCGTGACAACCATCGGGACAACCATCGGCATAACCATCGGGACAACCAGGACAGTCATGGGCACTGCCATCGGGACATCCATCGGGACAACGATCGGGACAATTATCGGGAAAGCCATTGCCAATGTCATTGGGCCAACAGGGACGATGGCCTGGGCATTGGGGAGGGCCTATTCATTTTGGAATGACTCGGCCACTACCAGTGGCAGAATTCGCACAATTCGCCTCGCCAGAACGCACTTCACGCAAGAGACGAACTGATTTCCCGACAGGGCGTCTCACGTGTCGATTCGGTCCCATCCTCACTCACCCACCCTCCGTGATACTACATTCATTTTCCATGTCTAAGCGTATATGCAGAGAGAGAGATAACAAAAAACAAATCAGAGAACGAGAGTGAGAGACAGAGAGAGTGTGTGTGTGTGTGAGAAAGAGAGAGAGAGAGAGGACAAACAAAAAATAATCCGGCCGAAGGACTCAACCATATGCAGTTTTGGGCACCGCAATTGAGAATCTTTTCTTCGGTGGAGCTCCCTATGGGGCCACGAAGCGCTGCACTGGGCTGGGGGGAACGCATGCGGGCGGTAGCACTGGGGCCGTCTTTGGAGCTCCCTATGGGACCACGAAGTGCTGTATTGGGTGGGTGAAATGCCAAATTGGGTGTGTGGGACGCATGCGGGCGGTCCCACTGGGGGCTTCGGTGGACCTCCTTATGGGGTCACGAAGCGCTGCACTGGGTTTGGGGGGAACGCATGCGGGCTGTAGCACTGGGGCCGTCGGTGGAGCTCCATATGGGGCCACGAAGCGCTGTATTCGGCGAGTGAAAATGCCACATTGGGTTTCCGGGACGCACGCGGACGGTCCCAGTGGGGGCTTCGGTGGAGCTCCCGATGGGGCCACGAAGCGCTGTACTGGGTGGGTGAAACGTTGGGCGGGAGGAGGGGGAAGGGGGAGGAAGAAAGGAGGGAACGCGGGGACCGTCGCTTCAAAACGAGGACCCAACACCACAGGATGGTTGGGCAATAGACCGAGACGTTGAGAGACAGGGAGAATGAGAAAGAGAGAGAGAGAGAGAGAGAAAGAAAGAAAGAAAGAAAGAGACGCACACACGCACACACACACACAAACACGGAGACAGAGTCTGGTTCCTGGACTGTCATTGCCGCTATGGCAATAGTTTGTCGTCGCCCATCCTCCCCGATCCTCCAACTTCTGCTGTCATCTTGCCAGCTTCGCCTACTACTCGTGCTGCTGACCCTCCTATCCTCAACATCCTCATTATCCTCCTTGCTCCCTCCTCCGATCCTCGTTGTCTTCCTCCACCCTTCCTCCCCCTCCTAGTGATGTTCTGACTGCCAGGGGCTGATAACCCAGATCTAGTTATGCCGAAACCGTTGCATAGGCACAAAGACTGTTCACGAAGATGATGTGTTGCCGTAATTCGTGATCTCGATTCAATCCGGGCGTTGTTTTCCTTTTCCTTCTCCCTGTCTTTTTGAAACATTGCCCTAACGTTTGAGACCCCGGGAGGCCGAACAATCTGGCACTGAAGCTCAGCTGTTTCATTTCTTCGCGCGTTTCGGTCGCGATGACGTGCATTGGATGCGAGCGCGCCTGCCTTGCGTGTATGTAATTCCGCGCAGGGAACGTACACCTCAACACTTTGACCATTCGGGCGTCATCGTCATCATTGTCATCAGGATTATATCCACAATCAACATATTCGCGTGTAGTTGCCCGCTCATTGGGCGAGTGCGCGCGCGAGTCTGCATACCTTGCCTGACAACAGGCATGCATCCGAACGCGCTCCGCGTCGCCGAGCGCGCCCTCTCGGACATGAGTCCGCGCGTTCCCTCCACGATTGCGCCCGCGTCGGGGGGTTCAATCGTTCGTGGCGCTAGAGCGACGACGATGATGATGCCGACAACGACGCCGTCGACGACGACGATGATGACGTCGGCGACGGTGACGGCGACGACGATGTCCATGCCTCCCGAGGTTCCCTTCCAGATTTCCGTGGCATGCTTTTAAAGGCATCGGAGGCCCATGGGGTTCCAAGGAGGTTTCCGGGAGACTCCGGAGGTTTCTCAGGAGGCCACCCACGACGGCGACGGCGACGGCGACAGCGACGACGCCGTCCAGAGGCCCGCTGCAGTGCCCTCCCCGCGGTGGTCTTCCCGGCGTTTTTTTGGACGTCCTCGAAGCCCCAGGAGGTTTCCCCGGAGGCTCAAGAACCCGCCCGCTGATTCTCGCGGACCCGCACAGATTCTCATGGATTCTGCCGGGGTCTCAGCAAAGGTTCGCGGCGGATCCTGGCGGATTCTCGCGGTTTCTCGTGGATCCTGTTGCGTCTCTGACGAGGGATCGCGGCAGATCCTGGCGGATTCTCGCGGATTCTCGGCTCTGTCGCGCGCCGCTCTCGGGCCGCGCGCGCGCATAAAGGCCGCGAGGGCAGCGGGCGGCGATGACCGTGACCGCCCGCGCGCGTTTGCAGGCCATTGCGTCCGCCTGCGGGGTCCGGGCAGTGCCGTCTGTCGTTCCACCAGGCGCGCGCGATCGCTTGTGGCCGCCTGGCGATGCCAGTCGGTGCCTCTCCGCGTGCGCGCGCCGCTGCGCTCCTGCGAGCGCCTTCCCGGCAGTGCTTCTGAGCGCGCTCGCGCGCCTGAGAGCACCCGCGCGCTACCGCCCATGGGCGCTTGCGAGCAACCGCCTTGGCGCGGGGTTCGGCCGTCGTTGCTGGGCGCCCCGCGGCTACAATGGGTTCCCATGTGTCCTCCCATGGCCTCCAATGGCTTCCCGCCCCGCTGGCCTTGGGCGCCCGGGTCGGCCGTTGTTGCTGGCCCCCCCGCGGCAGAGTGCGTTCTCCAGTAGCCGCCTGAGGCTGTGTTTTTGCTGGTGCCTCGCCCGCCGCGGCTTTGCCCCCGTGGATTCGGATGGTTTCGCGCGCATTGTTCCGATAGTTTGTCGTTTTGGGCCAGTGCTCCGACTTTGACTGTCTGCATAGAAAATTCAATGCAGATTAGCCCTGCGCCAGAATCGAAAGTGTGAAACCAGGTCAAATACCAGCGTTTTGCGAGCAACGCAAACTGATATCGCCGCGTTGGCGCAGAATCGTCGCCCGCAACCCATATGGTTTTGCCGGGGGGCCCGGCCCCCCCGCATCCCCGACTTTCTTACTCTCAGGCCGCCCCTCCGACAGCCCTCCCTTGTAGAACCCCCCCCAAGGACAGCTGATCCGAGGACACTCCAAAGACCATCCGTCGGCCCTCCCGCGCGGGCTGGGCTCCTCACGCCCCCACGCGTGATGCTGCCCCCCCCGCCGCCCAGGCTGCGCCTTGAGCTGCCCGAGTACATGCATCAGGGAGGAGGAGGAGGAGGAGGAGGAGGAGGAGGAGGAGGCATGTGCTCATCCTTCTTCTCCTCCCCCATCCCTCCACTTCCCTCTTCCCCCCCTTTCTCTTTTTTTTTTGTGTTTCCGTACGCAGTGCACCGGAGCTCAGCACACTGTACACTCGCCTGTGCCTCGGTCTGGCGACGACCTCCCCGCGTTCGAGAGGGTCACGACGCCCAATCCGACGCCCGACGACCTCCTCCTCCCCTCCTCGGGGCCCTCCCCTGGGCCCCCCAGGCTGCCGGAGTACAAGCAGCAGCGGGCGATCAGGGAGATGCGGGAGCGCCGCGAGAAGGCCCCGCCTGCCCGCGGGCGACAGGCAATCGTCGAGTCCCAGGAACAAATGGGAAAATATGGGAATTGGGCGGGAAGACAAAAACCCAGGAAATATGGGAAAATATGGGAAATATTCTTATTTGTGTGTATTTCTTTGTGTGTCCTGGGGCCCCTTCAGACGGCCCGTACGCACGGTTTCGAGCACGCCTCGGTCGGCCTTCCTCGGCAAGTGCCCCACCGCCGGGGTCGTTGCATCGGTCGGCCGCGCTCCTCGCCGAGGGCGCGCTCTCGGGGTGCACGGAGCGCCCCGAGAGCGCGCCGGGTGGAGGCCCGATCTCAGGATCCGCAGACCTCCAGTTTGGACGCCCGAAATGGGTACGGGCAGAATGGGCACAATGCCCAACAGCAGTTCCTGTTCATTTTGAACAGGATTCGCTGTCCACGCCGCCGCGGCTTGTGTCCATTCGAGACAGAAGGCCGCTTGCCCAACAGCGGCCGCTGTTGGTTTGGGACAACATTCGTTGTTGGGCATTGTACCCAATCTTCCGTGCCCATTTCGGGCGTCCAAATCCAGGCGTCGAAGGGGGGGGTGAGAACTAGGGTCAAGTCGGGCAGTATTCCAAAAGAGTAAGACAACAGTCAAACATTGTCTGGGACGATGTTTTTTGGGGGCATTTGTAAGCATGTTGGGGGTATGTTTTGAGTAGGTTTGATTTTTCGTACAGAATCAGCCTGTAGGAGGACATGCCCGACCTAAAACTAGGGGTGTGAGGTGTGAGTGCCATGTCGGGGGCCACGAAATCTCCGAGAGTCCATGACCCCCCCCGTATCGGCGCAAGGGGGCAGGACAGCGAATGCCGGGTTGACCCAAAAGGGGGTCCAGCGACAAGAGGGTGGTGCAATAGATTTGTGGGGTTGCAATACATGTCGGGGCGCAAATGTATTGCTGCATTCTCGCGTGCAATACAGTGCAATGCAATTTTCTGGCGCAGTACATCTGCAATACATCTGCAATACATTGCAACACATTGCATTGCAATACATTTGCAATACAATGGCTCCAAATATATTTCACCACCCCCTTGCAGCTGGACCCCCTTTTGGGTCACCCAAAGAACGGAAGGTGAGGGAGGCGGAGGAGGAGGAGGAGGAGGAGGAGGAGGAGGAGGAGGAGATTCAGGGCATCTCTCCTCCATTCCTTCCATCTGAAGGTAACCTCAAGAAGGCTAAGACCCCCCCCCTTCCCGGAGGATTATAACGCCCCCGCGCCCTGGAGCGTTATGGCCGCAGCGGAGGACTTGGCTGCGGGGACTCGGGGCCTAGCTAGGGCTTCGCAGGGCCTAGCAGTTCTCAGCAGAGGTTAGCAGGGGTTAGCTGAGGTGCGTGGCAGGGCCCTTAGCAGAGCTCAGCAGCTCTTAGCAGGACTTACATGTAGCAGGGCTTACAGGTAGCAGGGCCTAGCAGGGCTTACCAAGGCGCAGGGAACAGTCGGCCCTAGCAGGGCCTAGCAGGGCTTAGCAGGGCCTAGCATAGCAGGGCCTAACAGGGTCTTGCAGGGCTTAGCATGGCTGAGCAGGGCCTAGCAGGGCTTAGCAGGACTTAGCAAAGCTTAGCAGGGCTAAGCAGGGCTAAGCAGGGAGGGGGGCTAAGCATCGCCTACCAGAGTTTAGTTAGGTTTAGCAGGGTTAAGCAGGGCTCATCAGGGCCTAGCAGGGCTTTGCCAGGCTGATCAGGGCCTACCAGGACTTAGCAGGGCTCAGCAGAGGTTAGCAGGGCTTGGCAAGGCTTAGCAAGACTTAGCAAGGCCTGGCAGGGCTTAGCAGGGCTTAGCAAGGCTTGTCTGAGTTTGGCAATGCTTATCAGGGCTAGCAGAGCTTTGGATGGCCTAGCAGAGCTCAGCAGGGCCTAGCAGAGCATGTACTAGTCGGGCTTAACAGTGCCTGGCAGGGCTCAGCAGGGCTTACCAGGGCCCAGCAGTGCCTAGCAGGGTTTAGCAGCGCAGGGCTGAGCAGGGCTTGCAGGGCTTAGCAGGTCTTAGCAGGGTTTATCAGGGCTTAGCAGGGCGTAGCAGGTTTAGCAGGGCCTAGCAGGTCATAGCAGGGCGTAGCAGGGTCTAGCATGGCTGAACAGCAGAGCTTAACAAGGCTTAGCAAGACCCAGCAGGGCTTAGCAGGGCACAGCAAGGCCTTGCAGGGCCTAGCAGAGCCCAGGAGGGCCTGGCAGGGCTTAGCAGGCCTTAGCAGGCCTTGGCAATCCTTGGCAGGGAGTAGCACGGTTTAGCAAGGCCTAGCAGGGCTAAGCAGGGCTACGCAGGCCTCAGCAGCCCTTCGCAGGGCGGATCAAAGCTCAGCAGGGCCTAGCAGGGCTTAGCAGTTCTCCGCAAGCCTTAACAGGTCTCCGCAGGGCTTTGCAGGGCTTATCAGGGCTTAGCAGGGCGTAGCAGGGCTCCGCAGGGTCAGCAGGGCTCAGCAGAGCTTCGCAGGGCTTAGCAGGGCTGAACAGGGCTGAGCAGAGCTGAGCAGGGCTCCGCAGGGCACAGCAGGGCTGGGCAGGGCTTAGCAGAGCTTATCAGGGCGACCAAGCTTTAGCAGGGCGTGGCACGGCCTAGCAGGCGTAGCAGGGCTAAGCAGGGCTTAGAAAGCCTTCGCAAGAATTTGCAGGGCTTAGCAGGGCCGATCAGGGCGTAGCAGGGCGTAGCAGGACCCAGCAGGACATAGCAGGGCTTAGGAGGGTTTAGCAGGGCTCCGCAGGGCTTGGCAAGGCCCCGCAGGGCTGAGCAGGGCTCAGCAGAGCTTAGCAGGGCTTAGCAGGGCTTTGCACAACTTAGCAGAGCTTTGCAGGGCTGAGCAGGGCCTAGCAGTGCTTAACAGAGGTTAGCAGTGCTTAGCAGGGGCTAGCAGGGCTCTTAGCAGAGCTCAGCAGCTCTGACCATGGCTTACAGGTAGCAGGGCCCAGCAGGGAATAGTAGGGCTCAGCAGGGCCTAGCAGGGCTTACCAAGGCCCAGCAGGGCTTAGCAGGGCGCAGCAGGGCTTAGCATGGCCTAGCAAACCTTAGCAGGGCTTAGCAGGGCAGGGCTAAGCAGGGCTAAGCAGAGGGGGGGGGGGGGGAGGGGGGGGGCTAAGCCTGGCCTACCAGAGTTTAGCAGGGCTGGGCAGGGCTCGGCAAGGCTAAGCAGGGCCAGCAGGGCTAAGCAGAGCTTAGCTTGTATTATCTTTTGTCATGTGATACTTCTGTTCAGACTTACTCACATTCACAATCACTGTGTGGGCGCACTTCGGGCTGTTTGGAATTTCCGCGTCGTGTGGGTGCTAAGATAACGCGGGAGTGCGTGGCGGGGCGATACCCTGGGCTGGACCGCCTAGGAAGGCCGACGATATTCAATTTCTCTAAGGGGGGCGAAGGAAAGGGAGGAGGAGGACTCGGGGGATCAGGACAGGGGTCCCTCAGGAACACCACGACGATCACGACCACGACGACGACGACATTCAGATTCACTCTGTGTCCACGCCTCGGGCTCTCTGGAATTTCCGCGCCGCCCGGTGCTAAGGTAACGCCTCGGTGCGGAACGGGGCGTTAACTTCGGATGGGCCGACGAAAATGGGGATCGACGAAAATCGATTTCTGCAAGGGGATTGTAACAGGAATCGCACGGGAACAGGAGGGCGAGGAAAAGGAGGAGGAAAAGGTCCCAACAAGGCCGCGGGATTTCCAACAACTCCGCGCGGACCTCGAATGGTTGTGTAGTTTCTTGTTCTTCGACTCAAGGGCAACGTTGGGAGGGGGTGGGGCGGGCTCGGGGGATGCAGTGACCCCTGGCTCGGGGGATGCAGCGACCCACAATCGCGCACTGACCGCTGATGGGGGCCCGACAGCCCCAGCCTGCGCAGGAACGCTGGGATTTGCGATCGGGGGCCGTCCGCCGATTTGTCGGCGTTGTATCGCTGACTCAAGGTCGGCGCTTCCGCCCGGGAGCCGCCCCCCCCCCCGCGTGAGGGCTCCGGCACTCCCGCGCAGGCCCCCAGTTGGGTGATGCTAGACGTGGCCCTGGCCCAAGGTGTCCGCAGGATTGCCAACGGGGCCCCCACGGGCTCCGGAGCACCACCCCGCGGGGCCCAGGGGGCCCCAGGGGTTCCAGGATGGAGCGACAAGCTGGGGGGCACCGTGGGCCAGGGGCACCTTCGGCAACCCCCGACCCAAGCGCCCGCCGTCGTCGTCGTCGTCGGTCGTCGTCGTCGGTCGTCGTCGTTGTCGTCGTCGTCGTCGTCGTTGTCGTCGTCGTCGTCGTCGTCGTCGTCGTCGTCGGTCGTCGTCGTCGTCGTCGTCGTCGTCGATTTTGCCGTCGTCGTCGTTGTCGTCGTCGTCGTCGGCGTCGGCGGCGGCGGTCCCGCGCGCGCGCGCCGCGCTTCGCGCCCCGAGCGAGGGTTCCTGTGTCGTGGCCTCTCGTGCGCTTGCGCCGTCGTGGCCTCGGCCCACCCGCTGCCCCGTGTTGCGCCGTGTTCGGGAAGCTCCCATCCTTGAATCTGTCGCCAATTTTGAGGCCCCAGGAGGCTTCAGGAGGCCCCAGGAAGCTTCAGGAGGCCCCACGAGGCTTCAGGAGGCCTCCTCATGCCTCCTGAGGCCAATTTGCATGTTCCAGGAAGCCCCAGGAGTGTTCAGAAAACTGTGAAGAGGCCCCAGGAGGCCTCAGGAAACATCAGGGAGCTCCAGGAGACTTCAGGACGCCCCCGGAGGCCGTGGGAATCCCGAGGAGGCTCCAGGACGTTCCAGGAGGTCCCAGGATGCCCCGCGAGGTCCCTCAAGGCCCCACGAGGAGGAGGAGGAAGAGCAGGAAGGCAGGGAGGGAAAAAGCGACGGGAAGTCGGCAGAGTATGTGCAGGAGACGGATGATCATGGTGAGGACGCGGAGGAGAAGGAGGAGGAGGAGGAGGAGGAGGAGGAGGAAGAGGAGGGGGACGAGGAGGAGGAGGAGGACGACAGGGGGAAGAGGAGGAGCAGAGGGAGAAGAAAAATGGCATGAACGAGGAGGAGGAGGAGGAAAAGGAGGAGGAGGAGGAGGTTGAGGACAAACCGAAGCCAGATGGGAACATCAAACAGAGTCGGAATAAACATGTCAAGGACGCCGAGGGCCAGGACGGAGATACACACCCAGAAAGAACACGGCAATAAGAGACACCATGCGCAGCGGAAGAAACAAACATGATGATGGTGACACCGCGGTAAGGGTAGCAACAAGCGTCACAACGACGTTCCAGAGAGCGATTGTGATCAAATTGGTTTCTACCCCCGCGAGGGGCGTTACAGGGTATGGGACCACGTTTTCGGGACAAGTTGCCGGTTCAACAAGTAGGACAACGTTCTCGGGACAGGTTGTTGGTTCAAGCACGTCGCTGCGAGGTGTCTGGACCGTCGCCGGAAAGAGGTGCCGGGCCACCCAGTGCTGCCGGCTTCTAATCAGAAGCCCTCTTAGTTCTCCAAGGGGCTATCCGGGAACATAAGAAGTCAGAACGCACGAACGAACCACGAAGCACCACATCGGACATCTTTCCGGGCCTGCAAAGACCAGATGGGTGAGGCCATGGCCTCCTGATGTCTGCGCGGATGTTTCGGATCGGCGTTGAAGCCCCTTGGCGGCGCCTCTGGTGCCGCCCTTTGCGCACTCCGTGCGCCAAGGGGGGGGGGATCCAGCGCTGTTCCGAGAAATCTGCATGGTTTGCTTCCCTACTCACCAAGCGCGCGTTCCCTTACTGGCAAAGTGCCTACTCGCAAACGCCCAACGGAGCCTCTCTTCCTCGATACAATGGAGCCACTGAGCCTCGATGCCACGGGTCCAGGCCATTTGCGAGTAGTAGTTTCTTTGCGAGTAGTGTACCTACCTATCTTCGTCATCCGACTGTCCGAATGAAGGTGGGATCTACGCGGTGGTAAAGGATGGGAGGCAGGGGCAGGACGTCAGATGTGACGCGAGCGCAGATACAGGTTGCTCGCCGATTTGCAGTCTTCCCCTGCACTCCGACGTGGACTTTACGCGGAACCGACGTGATTTCGACGTGGACCCGGCACGGATTCGACACGGATTCGACGCGTTCGACACCGACACGGATGCGGATGTGGCTCGGAGCGTTGGCGCAGTGGGACACGTCAGCTCCCCCCCCACCCGTCGCTCCCACCCTCCTGGCCGCCAGGCGTTGGTGATCCAGCAGGCCTTCCGCGCTCACGAGGAGTGCGCCGTGAGCCCGCGCGGCGCTCGCCGTCGCCGTCGTAGTCGGCGTCGTCGGTGGCGTCGTTGAGGTTCGACGACGTCGACCTCGACGACGTCGGCGTCGACGTTGTTGAGACTCGAGGCTCGCGGATAGCCCTCGCGGCGCTCGCCGTCGTCGGCGGCGCTCGCGAACCTCGACGACGTCGACCTCGACGACGTCGGCTTCGACTTCGACGAGGACGTCGACGTCGTCGAGTCTCGCGGCTCGCGCGTCGACGGTCTGTAGATAGGGTCGGCAATTATACTACAGGAGGTCCGTCGAGAAAACCAGCCGACATCTTCGGAAAATCTTCAGCAGGAAACTCAACCTCCCCAAAGCTCTATAGGTCCTTGGCCGCCCCCGCCGTGTCTTTTCGGGCCTCCGGGAGCTGCGCCCCCGCGGGCACGGGCGGCATCGCCTTGACCTCCTGGCCAGAACGTCTCTCAGGAAGGGTCTGTGGTCTCTTTGGCTTCGGAGGGGGGGGGATGCGTCGAGGCTCGGAGGCTTTTGGGCGTCTTCGTGGGCTTCTCCAGCGGCTTTCCGGCGTCGTGGTGGCTTCCATCGGCTGCGCCTCGCCGAGGGCCTTCAAGGGGGGGGCCTGGATCGTCCCGGACGGCCGCCGTTTCTGGTCGCAAATCATGGGAGCCTTACATGTCTTCGGAATACCTTCGTAGGGGTGCAGCAGCGTGCGCCAGCGTATGGTAATCAGAGTAGGACCGCGACCCCTGGCTCGTCTTCGTTTTTTTGGCCTCGTTGGAGGCCTCCTTCAAGGCTTTCGCCCCCACCGCTGGATTCGCGTCGAAATTCTTCTCAGAATGCAACCCGGGAGAGGTCCGGGGAGTAGCGGTATGGGTACCATTTTGTACCCCATCGAGGGTGCATCCGTTCGGGACCTCGCAAAGGAGGGGTGCCACAGGGGGGGTGAGTTCGGCCCGTTGGCGCATCAAACCGCAGAAAAAACTATGCAAAACGAGGTCTCCGGCCTCCGCCGGAACCCGAGAGGTGTCGACGATCGGGACACGCGGGGGGCATGGTTTTTCGGAAATTCGATGCGCCAGCAGATCGAACTAACCTCCCCCTCAGTGTCCCCCCCCCTTTGGTGGGCCCTGATCAACGTGCGCCAGTGTGTGGCAGGCGATCTGAAAGCGCCCGTCTGGCGTCGGCGGGCGTCGATGTGGCGCCGATGAGCGTCGGTCGGCGTCAGAGAGCGTCGATTCGCGAGGGCCAGCAAGATGGCACGGGAGGCTCCCATGAGGCGCCACAGTGCGCGGATCTGAGGCGAGAGCCACACTTTGAGAAGGACCCGCCCTCAGCCTCCGTCCGTGAAACTGTTGCAGCTTCGAGCTTCAGGGTCGTGAGTGGTCTTGGCATGGCCCGGGCGTGTGCATATTTTTTTTGGGGGGGGGGCGAGGAGCATCGAGGAACGTCCTGGATCATCTCTGGACCTCGTTCGGGCGCAGTCGAGGCTCCCAGAAGAGGTTTCTCCTCGCGGCGCTCGGCCTCTGTGCAGGATTCGGGCTCCAGGGCCGTCAGAGACTGCTAAACGGGCGGACTTCTTCGCAGGATGGACCCCGGGTGGGGTCGAGGGCCGATTTTGAGCGGGTTTCGGGTCGACTTAATCATCGTCGTCGTGTTTCTTGCCTCCTCTTCCTCCTCGTCTTCCTGCTCTTCTGCTGACGCTGGTCATCCTCATTCCTGGCATGCCCCCTTTTCCCCTCCCCATCTTTCAACATTTTCCCGTTCTCCTTTTTCCCCTCCCCATCCCTCCTCCCTGTGCGTCCCTTCTCTTTCTCCCCTCCTTCGCCTCTTCCTCCTCCTTCATTATCCCTCTTCCCGTCTGCATCCCTCACCCTTTCCACCTCCCTGGGCTTCCTTCCTCCATTATTTCCTCCTTCCGTCCCCAGTCCGTTGTCTCGCAAGTAGTTTCCCCTCCCTTCCCCATTTCTGCTCTTAGTCATGTTCCTTGTCCCGCCTGCTCCTCATCCTCTTCCTCACCTTCTCCTTCGAGCCCACTTGTGGCCCTCGAAGGAACCCTAGGGCTTCCCCCCCTACACCTTGACGACGACGAGGACGACGACGACGACGATGAAGGCGCCGAGTTCAACGACGCCGCCGCCGCCGCCGACGACGACGACGACGACAATGATGACGACATCGTGGGCGGCGGCGACGAGGACGACGGAGGCCACCACGCCGACGGCGGCGGCGACGACGGCGGCGCCGAGGGCCGTGACGTGAGCGGCGCGCCGACGACGCACCGCGACGGCTCCGCCGCAGGAGCGCAAGCGGCTCACGCTAGCGGACGCGAGCGCCGCAGCAGGCCGCCGACGCCCGCCCCGCCCGCGCCCCCACTCGCCGCGTCGGCGCCGCTTTGCGGCCTCCTCCCGGGCGTCATGCTGCTGCCGCTCCTCCTCCTGCTCCTGCTCCTCCTGCTCCTGCTCCTCCTCCTCCTCCTGCTGCTCCTCCTCCTCCTGCTGCTGCTGCTGCTCCTCCTCCTCCTCCCTCTCTCCTCCTCCTGCTGCTCCTCCTCCTTCCTCCTCCTCCTCCTCCTCCTCCTTCTCCCTCTCTCCTCCTCCTCCTCCTCCTCCTCCTCCTCCTCCTCCTCCTCCTCCTCCTCCTCCTCCACCCCTGGGCTGCGTGCGTGGAGCGCCAGACCAAGGAGTGGCTGCAGTTCTGGGCCAACAATCCCTCCCTCAGACAGCAGGTGCGGCGGGGGTGGACGGCCACTAAGTTTAAGTTAGCAAGACTAAAGCCCCGATCCTGATGGAGAGCAGTAACAGGGCCTATGGGGGCCATGCTGCTCACACTTCGGTCCCTGGGATGGGTTGGGGTTGAACCTGATGTTTGGGAGGACCCCGACGGTTGCGAATGGCGCTTCAACCCCGACCTCTCCGACGGAGTTGGAGAAATTTGTGATGCGCTGGCCCAGTCAGTAATTAAAGGGTTGTGGAAACAGGCGACCCAACACACCGAAGGTGAATGCCTCAAGGACGGAGGTGATCTCACCATGCTGCGTCGGTAAAGCGTATGCACAGAAAGGATATGTACCAGGAAGCTGGCGCCCTGGAGGGGATTGCATGTGCCACCATATGGAATGGAGATCGCCAGCGCCGTGCAGGTTATAAGACTGACGGTTTGTGTACCCGGTGTGATTTGTGGGTACCCGACACCACGCGCCACCGAACGTATGAGTGCCCCTGTCTGGCCCAGTTGGAGCACCTTTGGATTGCCAGAACGGGACACTTATGCGAGCGAGCGATCCGCGACCTTGACCGCGGTATGAATTGGGTTCGTGGGATCGTTCCCCCAACCTGGAATCCAGTCCCTCCCCCACCAGAGTGGGGGGATGTCAGTGCCTGGCGTGTTAAAGCTGTCGATGCCCCACCACCTGCCATCGGTCCCACGGGAGAGGTTGATGCCAGCCCGTAGGCTGGAAGCGCGGATCGGATTTCTGGATGGGTCGGGTACGTCCTCGGATCCGCGTGTCGCCCGTGTGGGGTGGGGCGTCTACCTCCAGATGGGACCGACTGGCCCTCCCGCTCCTGGAGCCTCGGACCCCTCCCCTCCCCTCCCAGGGTGGTACGGGGGAGTTGACGGCCGCCAGACCGTCCCAGCTGCGGAAGTGGCGGCCCTTTGGTGGTGCCTGCAGTTGACGACGGGAGATATTGTGATCTATACCGACAACCAAGCTGTGTTTGACGGGTGGCACGGAGGCAGAGTTGACGACCCAAGCGGTGCGCTCCGAGGCTGGTGGCAGAGAGTCCGAGCTGCGGCCCGAGCGCGCCCAGGAGTTGTCACCCCCCGTAAGTGCTACTCTCATCTCGACTCCAAGTCTCACCTCTTGTCCTCCCAATCCCTTCTTGTCTCACGTGGGAATGAATTGGCTGACGCCTACGCCCAGAGAGGGGCGGAGGAGGCGGGTGCGGCCATCAGAGGCGAGGTGAAAGCCCTCGGCGTCGCGGACGCCTCCGCGACCCTCGCCCAGCAGCGCTTGGCCGCAGTGGCCATGGAGCTGGCGGCGCAGGACCGCGAGCAGTGTGCATGGACTCCCGAGGGGGGAGGGGGGGTTGCTGTGAACGGGGGGGGGCGCCTTTTGCTCTTGGCGGAGCCGTGCCGTGGTTGGACCACCCCTTCGGGAGATAAGTATTTGAGTCGATTGCGCAAGGGGCTCCCCCCAAAGGGCAGCAAATGGCCCAATGAGAAGGGAGCGGGGCGCCTCCAAGTCGAGGCAGCCTCTAGCGTGATCAAATCGTTTTTGAAGCACAAGTCTCGGAGATAGATTGCTATCGAGAGCCGCCCCCCCGATGGGGGGGGTGTAACTGTCCAGCTGTGGCCTCGCTGCTGACTGGCACCCTTCAGCATTCTCCCAGCATTCACCTCCTCCTCCTCCTCCTCCTCCTCCTCCTCCTCCTTCTCTCCTCCTCCTCCTCCTCCTCCCTTCTCCTGCCCTCCTCCCCTCCTCCTCCTCCTCCTCCTCCTCTCCTCCCTCCTCCTCCTCCTCTCCTCCTCCTCCTCCTCCTCCTGCTCCTGCTCCTGCGTTCCTGCTCCTCCTGCCTGCTGCTGGTCCTCCTCCTCCTCCTCCTCCTCCTCCCTCTTTCCCCCTCCTCCTTCCTGCTCCTCCTCCTCCTCCTCTCCTCCTCCTCCTCCCTCCTCCTCCCTCATCCTCATCCTCATCCTCATCCTCGTCCTCCTCCTGCTCCTCCCCCTCCTCCTGCTCCTCCTCCTGCTCCTGCCCTCCTCTCCTTCTCCTCCTCCTCCTCTTCCGTATCCCCGCGGTTGGTATCTTGGACGCTTTCCGCCTTCATATTATCGTATATAATCCTCCTCCTCCTCCCCTTCCTCCTTATCCTCATCCTCCTCCTCCTCCTCCGCCTCGTCCTCCTCCTCCGCCTCGTCCTCCTCCTCCTCTCTCTCTCTCCTCCTCCTCCTCCTCCTCCTCCTCCTCCTCCTCCTCCTCCTCCTCGTTCTCTGCGTCCTCTGGTGTCCTGGTGAAACGAGCTCCGCTTTGCAGAGTTCGGTTACCTATCTAGCAGCGTTCCCGAGACAGGAGCGCCACATCTCGGGAGCAGCCGCAGCTGCACGGGCCGAGGCGGGAGCGTCCAGGGGGCTCTCCCAGGTGCCTCAGGCGGCCCTCGTGCGGGCCAGGGGGGCAGAGGAAGACCCCAGAGGACCCCCATGACTGGGGTTCGCGCCCCGCCCGCAGGCAGCAGAGGTGAGCATCGTTCAACCGATCCCCATTCCCAGCGGCGTGGCCCGGGCCCATCTGGGCGACTGTACTCCCCTAGATGAGGGTATAGAGTATAGAGGTCGTTCCCTTCGGGCTTCGAGGGGTGTATCCCCAACTGGGGTGCTGATTTGGTGGGGGAGTCGGAGGGAATGGGGATGGGGAGGGGGATCGTTTAAAAGATATTGAAGAGGGCCGCCCGAGCCAGTCGAGCCGCAGTGCGTTCACGCCTGGCGGGAGGGAGGCGCGCTTGCGCCAGCAGGTGGGCCTGCCTTCGCCAGTAGGGCCCCCCATGTGCAGCTCAGAAGACGATCGCATCACCGACCCCAGAGACTACACCCGGCCCAGCCAGGTCCCGACCCACATCAGACCGCCCCCAAACGACCCAAGTTTTATGGGATTGGTGAGCGACCGACGCGATCCCGCGGGGGCGGGAGGCTTGTCCTCTCGCCCTCCTGCTCTTCCGCCCGCCCACCTCCTCGCCCCCCCCCCGCCCGCCCGTTCCCTGCTCTGCTTCGCTCGGCGGCGAGCGAGGGTGTGAAGTGAGCAGGACAAGGCCCTCTCAGAGGGCGGCGTGACTTCCCAGAAGCCATCGCGCCCTCTGAGAAGCGTTTTGCGTCCTCGGGGCAGGCGCGGAAAACTTGTCCGGAGGCCGGGGGACTTCGAAACGTCTGAGAAGGGGCAATTGAGAAGGATAAGGCCCTCTCAGAAGGCGGCGTGACTTCCCACACGCCCTCGCGCTTTCTGAGATATGTTCTGAGTCTTCGGGGAAGGCTTGGAAAACTTGTCCGAAGGCCAGGGAACTTCTGAAAAGTCCTTCTCGCTCTCACTTCCCCACGGGCGCGCTTCCGCCTCGCTCGCTCACGCCCCCTTGGCTCTCATACGATGGCCGCCCCCGCTGTCCGCTCCCACGAGCACCTGACCTAGGGCGCCGGCGACCCGCACCGCCGCGGTCCTCGTCCTCTTCTCCCCCTCGCCGCGTGGAATCTGGCGAAGATGAGCGACGCCACAAGAAGGGGGCCGTCCTCGCCGACGTTCCCGCGTAAGCTGCCCGCGCAAGGCCGCGCGTGGGCGCCCTCGCCTCCGATGTGGCGTGCCGCGCCGGCGGCTCGCGTAAGCCACCGCGTACGGTCGCTGTGCCATCTCGCGTAGGACCCGTTCTCAGAGCCCCGAATCATCAGGGGTAACTCGGGTCAGGGATAACTCGGGTTCGTTTTTCGGGAATCCAAACCCGAGTTACCCCGAACCCGAGTTACCCCGGATAATTCGGGCGCCCAACGTTCAGGCAGTTCACGCCTCCCCTCTCCGTCCTCCCATTCTTCGCCCTCGCCCGCCGGCCGCTGGAGTGTCGGGTATCGGCCCAGGGGGGGCCACCGCGTACGGTCGCTGTGCCATCTCGCGCAGGACCCGTTCAGGCAGTTCACGCCTCCCCTCTCCGTCCTCCCATTCTTCGCCCTCGCCCGCCGGCCGCTGGAGCGTCGGGTATCGGCCCAGGGGGGGCTCGCCGGGCCGCCGTGCGGCCGCAGACTCGATGTCTGCGCCACCCTCCCGTCGACGACTGGTGGTGCGGGGGTGTGCTTGCGCCAGGGGCAACGAAACGATAGGGGGGTGGATAGGCTCAGGATGGGGTGCAACGACCCGAGATCGTCCAGTGATCGGCGTTATGGGGCCCGATAGCCCCACCCCACGGACTTGCTATCGGGGGCCCATCGCCGATCAATCGGCGATGTATCGCCGATCCCAGGTCGATGCCCCCCCCCCCTTAGCCAGTCTCCCCTATCGTTGCCCCTCAGTGCGCAGCGAGGGGCAACAGGAAGACTGGGTCCGCCAGAACTCGGCCAGCCCGATGGCGGCCAGGCTGAGCTTGGCCCAGGCCGAATGTCGGGTCGGGCGAAAGGGGGGGATTGGGAAAGGGGGGGGTACGAAATTTGCTGCATGCAGCTGGTTTCGGCCTCACCGAGGGGCCCATTCCTCGATACATGGGCGCCTCCCGGCGCCGGGAGGCGCCGGGAAAATCAGCTAGGTGAGCTGATTCTCGAACCCCCCCTTTGCTATCCCCCCCTTTCGCCCGACCCGAGAATGCAAGAGCTCCGCTTGGC